ACGAACCGCGGTCGACTACGTGGGAGTCCAGCGACATAGCCATTACGCTAACTGCCGGTTCCCCCGGTCTGTCTCTTCTGCTACCATTCTCACTCAGTGCCCAGCAGATGCCCAGCATGTAGTAAATAAATGCTTGAAAAGTGATTCACCGTGTACTTGTAACTCAAGGACTTCCCTTTTTTAAAAAGTTACCTATCACTTGTCCACTTGATGGCCATCAATCATATCTGCTCTTTCTAAAAGAAAGTAGTTTAAAGTCACCTCTGTGGCTCAAGTGGCAGTGTGGTGCATATCCCGGGCAGACGCGGTGGCAGAATGGGCCAGCCCTGATTCGCCCAGCTCCAGGCGGCCTGGCTTCCAGCACTGCTGTCTAGGGACAGTTTTCCTCCCCGGGAGTTAAGTGGTGACTTGACAAATTTGACTGTTTCGGGTCAGGCCCGCTGGGGTGAACTCACGTTTCTCAGCAAGGAGGGAAACATTATTTTGCTTCACTCCTTCCAGTCTTATAAAATATATCCATGGTTGAGGTTTCAGGCAGATTATAAGATGTGCTAGACAAAAAAAACCATGAGACGTGGGCCAGAAAAGCATTCTGTGTTCGTTGTGTAGACAGATAATAAGACATGGGATTATTGTTCCATCAGCACAAAGAATGCTTGACAAATAAGTAATGAATTCAGATTATAACATCTTAGGAAACAAACTGTTTAGTAAAATGCCCTTTTTTTTTTTTTTTTTTTTGGAGAGGGTTTTTTGCTATAGGGCGCGTGCACTCGCCAGACAGACAGAGACAGAGAGACAGAAAGCGAGAAATCACCCCCCAGGGGGGATGCCATGCTGCAATCTCTTCTTCTCCATTCTCCTCTCGGGATCTTGGGCACGCACGCACACGCGCCCAGCGTGAGTTTTAAGCCACCAGGTCTGGGACACGAACTGCAGTCGACTACGTGGAAGTGCAGCGACATAGCCATTACGCTAACTGCTGGTCCCAAAATGCCCATTTTAATAAGTGTCTTCAAGTTATTCTGTGTAATGGCATAGTAGTTAAGAACACAATTTCACCCCATCCTGCTTGTGGGACCCTCTTCAAATTGATCTGCGCCCCTAAGACCGGTTAGTATATGTCTTGTGTAAAAGGGAGTTGTTATGCAGTTTTATAGAAAAAAAAATCATTTTTTCAATAGCTCGTATGTGGTTTTCAAGACGATCATTTTCGTTATTAAAGATACTATTTTTCCATTTTTTTCTAATGTTGCAAATTGTAACTGTTAAGTTCTCTTTTACATACTGAAATATATTGCTGTTCAGAGTTTTCTCCCAAGATATTATTCCTAATATTATTAAACTTGAAAGATTGTGTGTGTGTGTTTGTATCTGTGTGTGTGTATCCAAAATCCCAGGAAGAGAATGGAGGAGAATTGATGATAGCGTGGCCATCCCCCCAAGAGGATGATTTCTCACTTTTCCTCTCACTGTTTCTCCCTGGCAAGTGCACACACTATAAAAAAAAAAAAATTAAAAAAACTTTAAAACAAAACAAAACTTAAAAGCTGGGAGCCAGTAGGTGGCTTGGTAGTTAAGGGATTGAATTTCACATGGCCATCTGTGATTTGAGTCCCAGAGCCAGTGGCTTGAAAAACACGCCGGACGCGTGTGCATGTGTGCCCAGAATCCTCGAGAGGAGCTTGGAGGAGAAGGAATTGCAAAGTGACTATCCCCCCCCCCAGAGGGTGCTTCTCACTTTCCGCCCCCCTTTTTCTGTATCATATTTGATGCTCTTAAAAAATTTCCAATAGAAAACTCCTTCTCTTGGTGATCATGTCATAAGAGCCTTCCCTTTGTCTAGACCATCACGAAAAAGTGGGCTTTTCATTTCTTTTTCTAAGTTTCAACATGATTATCCTTCTTGAAAAAAGAATAGCTCTTCAGCATTTTAAAAACCTTTTAAAAATGCATGAAACCAGACTGTGGGAGATGCACACAGATGGGAAGTCCCGCTCTGCAGGTCTCAGATGGGAACCTGGCCAGTTTCAGTCCAACTACCAGCTTGTCCCTCAGCAAGAGTACAATGCCTTGCCAAGGCTGTTCCCAAAAGCAAAGCAGGGGCCCTAACCACGTACCCACCAGACTCATGTAAAACAGGGCCGGTGTCCACAGAAGACTGTCCATGGCAAAAGTTGTGGTTTTCATTTTTTTAATTGAGAAAGAAAGAATTTTGGGACCAGCAAGTGGTGTGGTGGTCAAGGGCACTGGACTCCGACATGGCCAACCACAGTTTGAGTCCCAGACCAGGCAGCTTGCTTTCTCACTTTCTCTCTCTCTCTAATCAAATTAAAATGAATAAGGTTAAATAAAAATAATTCTCTTTAATAAAAAGTAGGAACTTCATGAATAAGTGTCATGAAGAATCATCTAAAGGTGACCAAAACCTAGGAGGTATTTTAATAAATAAATATTTTTATAGTTTGCTTTTTTTTTTTTTTTTGAGAGGTGTCTGCTATAGGGCATGTGCACTCACCAGACAGACAGAAAGTGAGAAATCACGCCCTGGAGGGGATGGCCATGCCGCAGTCCCTTCTCCTCCATTCTCCTCTCAGGATCTTGGGCACGCACACCCACGCGCCTGGCGTGAGTTTAAGCCATCGGGTCCGGGACTCGAACCGCAGTCGACTACGTGGGAGTCCAGAGACATAGCCATTATGCTGACCGCTGGTCCCTGTAATTTGCATGATTTTTATACTGCTACTTTGAATTACTTTATTAGGAACTCTGTATTTTATTTATACACACACACACACACCTATATATATATAATTATATATTTTTTTAGATTTTTATCACTGTACATCATTACACTGTACATGGTTTTTTTTTTCAGAATGAATACAGTGCTTATCAATCAAATTAAAGATATTACCAATACATTATCATCAACAGATAACTTTTCATTCGTT